TTGATTTTGATTAATTTTCCCTCAAATTATGGATATATTTTCCTGTTTCTTTGCATGCCTGGTAGTCTTTTATTTGATGCTAGACGTTGTGATTTTATTTTATTGAGCGCTGAATAATTTTGTACTTCTACAAATATATCTGAGCTTTGTTCTAGGACTTGATTAAACTTGGAAACAGTTTTATCCTTTTAGATATTGCTTTTGAGCTTTATTAGGTAGAACCAGGTCAGCATTTAATGTGGGGCTAATTTTTCCATGTGACTGAAGCAAAACCCTCCATGTGCCCTACCTGATGCCTATGTGAGCTCCAGAGAAGGTTCCCTCTCACCCTTCCAGATGGTTCTTTTCCCGGCCTTGGGTAGCTTGTTCACACACGTGCTGACCATTAAGCTGAACATTTAAGGAGGACTCTGCAGATTTCTGAGGATTTTCTTTGTGTAGCTCTTTCTTCTGTGGTCCTCTGCCTCGTGAAGGGTAGCTGCCTCAGCTTCTCTGTGGAACCTGCTCCATTTCTGCAACCCAGGACAACTGCTGCTCCTGCAGTTCTCCCTCCCTGCGCTGCAGCCTGGAGACTGCCCAGACAGCGGGCCAGGGCGACCGTGGGGCTCACCTCATTGTTTCACATTTCCCAAAGATCACAGGCCTTCATTGCTTGATGTCCAACATCCTGAAAATCATGGTTTCATACATTCTATGTTTTTTTTTTTAAAACTGTTTCAGATGGGAGAGTAAATCCATTCCTTTCTATTCCATCTTGGCCGAAAGCAAAAGTTGGGATAAGAAATTTAAAAACAACTTAGGGACCATTGTCATTTCATTACATGGTATCAATTTCAGTCCTCAATGGCATGAAAGGGTAATAATGGCTATAAAGATCAATTATGGTACTGGGTTAAAAGACCTTTCCAATTGGTTCTGAGTGTCTCTGGCTCCATGAGCAGTACAGGTTTCAGATGATGCCGAATTTTCCATAGCTCCCAGGAGTTCAATATAGAGAAATGCTGATTCTGGAGCTACACAGGTAAACCAGTTCTATCCCCCAACAGAAAAAAATCAGTGTTATCCAGAAAGGTGACAATAACGCAGATATCGGCTCACCTTATTGGGTGCTGACTGCATGACACACTCATTTCTGTGCAATTTACATGTATTAACTCACCAGAGGCCTGAGATTTTACCCGTAAGGCACAGAGAAGGAGAGATGATCGCCAGGAACCAGGCTGCAGTCACTCAGGCCCAAACTCACTGCCTTGAATGGTTTCTTGTCCTGGGTGGAAGCCACAGGAATGGTTTATACGGACCCCTCCAAGGCATTTGGCAAAGTCTTACATGTTATGTTGGTGAAGCAGACAGAGACGTGAAATCAGGCTGAGAGAGTAATCCACTGTACGGAGGCTCTACGGGTTTCTCTCTCAGCTCTGAGCTTGTCCACAGGCTCAAAGCTACGTAAGGAAGACTTAACAAATTTGCTATTAATATCAGGGTCATGGCTGGATCCCAGCACGACACATACTTGCTGAGCACCTCCTACGTGCCAGGCACTGCGCATAGTAATTCACCGAGGGGGACACTGGTGAGCCAAAGTGGAGACTGCTGCCCTTCAAGAGTTTACAATCTAGAAGAGGGAGATTATCAAAGCAATAGTCATGACGAACAAGTAAGCTGTGGCATGTTAAAAGACGGTAAGCGTCTGAAAGCGGCGTTCTCCCTTAGCAGATCAGGAGATGTGGGTGCTGCAGGGGTGAAGAGGGGAGGGTGCAGATTACAATCTTAAGTAGGGTGGTCAGGTTAGGCCTCATGGAGGAGGTTACATTTACAAACAAAACTCAAAAAAGATGAGGGAATGAATCATGTGGATAACTGAAAGAAGAGCGGTGGGGCAGAGGAAACAGCCAGCACGAAGCAGGAGGTCCCTGGCGGGGTCCAGGAAGAGCAGATGGCCAGCGTGGCCGGAACAGAGTAAGTGAAGGCGAGTGTGGAACGGGATGTGGCCCAGGAGGGGAGGGACACACGCCTGCATCAACAGGGCAGTGCTGCAGGAAGAGTCAAGGAATGATGACAGCACACGCATGCTCTCTTGCTACCCTGAACATCGACCGAAACACAGACCTATAAAAGCACGGAAGGAGCAGGTTGATGACACAGGGAGCCCTGGAGTCCAGAAGTGTGGCCTTGTCTTCATCTGGATTCAATTCAGACACATGTGCCATGCCCAGGGCAGCAGGCTCCAAGTCACAGGGAGGCACCTGGCCTTCGGCCTCTTCTTCTCCAGTATTGCAAAAGAGCGTTAGTGTGACATTTTCTCCAGCGCGAACAGTCACTGCCATCCCACTGTCAGATTCCTCTAAGGGAAGCATCACCAGCCTTGCGAGCAGGACACTCACCACTGACCAGCTGAGACGGTGGCCATGGAGGGGACCGTCACTACTTCACTCCCCTAAGTAATCACTCCTGCTGGCTATTGGGGAGGAAAATGCCATTTTATTTTATGTTTTATTACTGGTGAAACCCTCAAGGCAAAAGCAAGTAGGAAAGCATATTTTGCAGTTCCTGGTGAGACGTACGAAGAAGATGTTCAGCTTCGTCGTAACAGAAATGGGAGGATCTCACTTTATCCATAGTCAGATTTTGAGCTTCTAGGGAGAAAGGAGCTACAAAGCTGAGCTCATCACTACCGTTGGCCTCTAACTGTCCTCTTCAAACGAAAAGATGCTAATGAAGAAAAATAAGATAGTATGTCCCCTTCCTCCCCTTTGGCGTCTGTCTCTGAGTGGCGGCAGCCTTCCTTTCCTCCCTCTGAGACATGCCCAAGCCTGCTTTCCAGAACGACCCTTTCTGCCTGGCCCTGGCCCATTAGCTCATGTCTCTTAGCTTCTGTTTTCTCATCTGTTCAAATAGGGTTAAAAAGCCCCTGCCTCGAGGGTTGCAGTCAGGGCTTTGTGTCACAGTGCAAGGGAAGAGTCTGGCCGGGGAGACCATGGGCCCCCAGCACATGTGTCTGCCCTCTCTGTCCCTCCTCACCCAACTGGGGTGCAGTTGCCTGGCTCCTGGAAGGGGAAATGGCCCCAGCTCTCAGGGACCAGGGTTCTCTGTCCATCTCCCACCCCACTTAATCCTACCCCTGCAGGGCCAGCTCACCCTGGCCTGCCACGTCTCACCAGCCCACAGTGGGCAGGGTGGCCACTCTGTGCCCCTTGACTCAGCTGGGCACTTTCCTCTTCTCCATGTGGGGGGACCAGGGCCCTTCTGTTCTTCCTGAACACTCAGTGTCCTCCCTGGGCATCCCATCCACACAATCTCATGCTGCCTGCATGCCACCAAAGGATCCCCTGAAACTGGTTCTCTCTTGACATATCTGTGCATCAGTTCATTTTAGGGACTGAAAGCCGGGGACAGGCTAACAGATGCCCCTTGCAGGCACTGTGTATGGGAACAAGTCTTAGCAGTCGCACCATGCAGGGGCAGACGGAAGCATCAGGCACCATGACGGGCTGCTAGGACGATAAATCCTGGGCTCACAACATCTCTTTCAACCTTCTGCTGGGGGAAGGAGGTACAGGGCATCTAGTGGAGGACTGAAGTGGGGGGCAGCTGCCCACTGGTCCTCTGGAAGGTCCCCTGCTGGCACACTCCCCAGGGGAATGGCAGAAAAGTAACCAAACCACGCTGTGGGTTAATGTCCTTTAGGGAAAGAACCAGCAAGAGGCACCAGCCTGATTTTGAGGCACTGCCCTTTTCTGCACCCCAAATAATGGCAGGCAATGCCCACCTGCAGGTGCTGCCCCAGTTTCCTAAACCAATTCTCGCTTAGACAGGAAGCACTCAAGAGACAGCATCTCATCTCCAGAAGTCCCGGCTAACTGGCATCCCGGGGCCTCATTCTGGAGGCAGATGCTCGTGTACCCGCGTGCCTTGTTGCTGGTCCCATCCTGAGTTTTCACTCCACACATCCTCCCTGGCACCAGACACGCTCCTGAGTGCCAGTGCTGGCACAACCCTCCCTGAGGGTGGCTCCTGAGTCCCACACATCCCTAGCCGGTTCCCCCACTCTGTCCGCATCCTGCCCCAGGACTCTGCTCCTCTAGAGGGCTCTGCTTCTCTAGCCAAGTCCCACCGCCTAGTGCCAGCTGGACCGCAGGCTGCTCTGGCCTTCCCCGGGGCCAGGGCCTCCCTGTCTGCTACACAGATGCCACGGACAGGGAGACTGCCCTGCCCCGGGCCCCAGCATGCCCCTCTTGGCACCCCCAGCCCTAGAATCTGGCAAGCTATGGACCCTGCTGTTTGCAGCACGACGAAAAAGTGTGCACTCTGGGGGTGAAGAGGCTTGAGTTCGAATCCTTGCTTTACTACTTACTAACGAAGCCATTTTGAATGATCACTTAGCTTGATTTGGTGTCATCCTCCGTCAACTAGGATGGAATCTAGGGAGCAGCGGTGAGGACTGACTGGGACTATGCATGTTGGAAGCTTTAGGACCAAATTCATGGCCACTGTTAAATAAATGGTGACTGTTTAATGGGGTTATTATCACTATTAACATACAATCAATTTATAACTTGGTAAATATCTTCAATCTGATATTCTCAACATTTAACAGTTTTTAGCTCTCTGCCTTATCTGGTCAGGGTTGGAAGTCAGGTGACATTTTGTCACTTCCAAATATGAGTTAATTGCTTTTCTCTAGTGTCTGAAGGTTTTCATGCTAGTAACCCCAAAATACCCCTTGCAAAACTGCCTGTGTATGGCCATATGCGTGCAATTGCATGTGTGGGTGTGTATGCATGTGGGCTCTCTGGGGGGCACATGTACAAAAGCCTGTGAGGGTGTGTATTTTCATGTTTGCATATGTGACTGTGTGTGTGCGTACACGTATATACGGGTACATGTGCGCGTGTGCACATGCTGGGTGTGAATACCCACGTCTCCTGCAGAAGCCAGGCCCGCTGAGGGAGGGCGGGGCCCACGCTCTGTCCCGAGCCAGCCCTCTGGCGGCTGCGTACCTCCATGTTTCTGCAGAAGGTGGCGTTGGTGCCAAACAGGATCTGGCACTGCTCGTTGGCGCTGTAGTGCATGCCCGGCAGCTTGTGCGGAAGGCGCACCGTGTGCTGGCTCCTGGGGTCCGTGACCAGCAGGCAGGTGCTGACTTTTGACCTGAAACAGCCAAGAGACAGGGTGACTTGCAAATATACTGCCCAGGTTTTTGTTTTTTTGTCACCAAGAAAGATGTCCCTCCAAATTATTTATGGCAAAAGGACTCAGGCACCGGACACATGGATTCTGCTCTTTTTCCATGTGGCTGGGTGTGGATCTTGGCCCTGAAGGTGATGAGCGCCTGGTGACTGGGAGGGGCCTGGGAATAACACCCAGGAGGCTAATGGACTTGTCTTGGGGAGTCTGAAAGCTTTCTTTGATGAAAAACCTTTTGAAATAGATCACTATGATATTTTGTTACAATATGGCTTTGAGCAAAAGTTACTAGGAATGAAGTACAAGTTAGGGTTGTTTTGTTTTATTTTAAATGAAATCAAAGTGCTCATTCCAACTCCACGGATTCTCTTTGAGTGCTTGTTGGACCTCAGCAGATCCATTGGACTTGGTGTCTCACCTGACTGCACCCCCTGCCACCACTGAAAACTGGCAAGTGACACATCTGCCAGGGACTTCAGAATTTCAACCAGGATGGGAATGTTCATTTACAACGAGAAGTACTATCTCCAAAACACTGAACTGGGGACTGTGAGGATGGGGCTCTGGTAGGAGGTTATATACCTAAATGCTTTTATTTTTCAATTCCTAAAACAAGGCAGACGGCTGTAAAAAGAAAACCCAGCCACTTGCCAACATTTTTGGGGGAAAGAGTTGCATGCATGCAAGTACACACAGCTGACACTGGTCCACCTTTCCCGGGTTCAGACACACACTGCCCATCACCAGTGGGACCTGCACGGTGTATGTGAGCAAATGAAAGTGCCCCGTCTTGCTGCACTGACTCTTCCAGGTAAAGTGAAATAATGGCGGGGGACTTACAACAATTGATTAAGATTTGGTGATAATAAATCCTCAGTGGGAAGTACACTATATTAAAAGTAATGGGTTCATTTTTAAGCCACTGAAATGATTTCCCCATCAACAGGAAACCTCATGGAAGAAGAACTAGAACGATGCCTTTTCCACGTGACCCCGAATTCACTGGGCACTTGAAATGTGTTATTGGACTGCAAAGCTCATGTGCAGGTGAGACTCAGGGGCTCGCTGTCGTCTCAACAAGGTGGACGTAGCGTCACCACTAAGGAGTGATCGGGGTCTGTACATCAACTCCGCACAGCTCTGCCGCCTTGATCTGCACTGTCCCTGGTACAGACTCTGTTTGACAAAGCTATGCGACCAGATGGCCAATTCTGACACAGAAACCTGAGCCTGGAAAGGTGCAGATGCCTTGTGGGAAGAAGGTAGCAGTGAGATAGACACACTCCCTCCCCACCTCCCTGGCAGATTCCCTCCCCGTCAAGGGCAGCAGCACATCGTAACAGATGCACACGGGGCAGGTCGTTCTTGCCAGTTATAGGGGACTCCGTCCTAACACCTCTTCAGGCCAGCTGAGAATTCGGAAAGAGATTCATTTTTCCTCCTCACACTGAATTCTGTCTTTTGGAAGTACTTTTTGTTGTACCCATTTTATAGAATGATTCAAGGACCTACTTGAGGAAGTTTTCAAGGTCATCTCGACTGCAGGAGGACCAAGAGAGGTCGCTGGGGTTCCGGCCTTTCACCCACTCTCCCGACATGATGTGGGACCTGCCGGCGCAGGACGAGTGGTCGTCATCGTGGTTCATGCCCAAGCTGTCCAAGGAGAAGGAGAGAGGGATGCTTAGGCTCCAGGGGCTAGCATATCACACTAACTTAAATCAAGTCTTAAGTACGAAAGGTGACATAGGGCGACACCAGTCCTCACAGAGCAGATCCACAGTCATGAGTGCGTGGAGGAACGGACAGGGTGAGGATTTGCTCACCTAGTGAATGAAGATCAACTGGGCAAATAACAGACACTAATAACATTCACTAAATAATAAATGAACGTTGATCTTAACTGCGATAATTAACTGTGACATTATAGTTCTTAAACTCCAAGCTTCTGAGGATTAGACTTGGTTTCTCACTCTAAATACTCCAGTGTTAATGGTCTAAGTGTTTTTGTTCCTTAGAGATAAGTGAGTGTGTTAAGAGCCACTGGGAACCATCCAAGACTTTTAGAATATCCTGGATTAAAGTCTTCGAACTAATGAAAAATTGTGGCTTTTCTATTTTTCATATCGCCATACCTGGGTCCAATGTGATAATACCAGTCATCTTCCCCACCCCTCTGTACCAGAGAGACACCAGGATACCTGCCTAGGCATGCGTGGCTGGCCACACGCTGTGAACTGAGCAATGATCTCAGTTTATATACATGCCCTCACTGGGGTAAGCTGAGACGCAGAAGATCTGATGGCCCAGTTTGCTGACCTGTGATTTCCACGTGAGAGACCTACCATGCATAAAGATATCTGTTTTTTGTCAACGATACCAGTGAAAAAAAATATATGCAGTTTAATTCATTCAAAAATATTTATTTCCCACATGCCAGGTAATGGACCAAAAGGAGAAGATACAACAGTACACAAGATGCCACCCCTGACCTCAGATCACTGCCAGCCTGGGAGAAGAGATGAACCCAGATGAAGAGAATTATGAAGAGAGGTTCTAAACGCTTCCCTGGAGCCATCTTGTCCTAGTTTGCCTCATATGTTCCTGAGCATCTTTTATCAACTCCCCTGCTTGCTGCTCAATGCTGGTATCTCTCCAAGAGAGGCCCACCCTGTCTTCTCCTCTACACGCCCTGCAGGCCACCCCTGTGCCCTTGTCTACAGAGATCTTCCCTTGGCCAACCCCCAGGTGGAATGGGATCGGCCAAAGCCATCCGCATCCTTTGAGAGACACACTGCCTCACGCTTGTGTGTCCTGGATCTTTGGGCTAAGCAGGGCGCTCTCGGATCACCCACACGTGTCTGCTCCCATCGGTGGAGCAGGGCATGCTCACCAAGGGTCAAGAGTATTTATTCTCAACTTACTGATGTCAGTGGTACATGTTATTTCAATTCATACATGTGGTTACATACTGGGTTAACCAATAAAACATGAGGACAAAAGCAAAGTTGTTGTTTTCATGTGAACTGATTTAGCTAGCAGCTAAAATAAATTGTTATCAAATTAGGTGTGCGCAAGACAACCATAAGATGAAGAACAAATCATAAAAATCTGCTCCCAGGCTGCTTCACAAGGGTCTTTTATGTTCCTGTCCATATACACATGCACAGATATATACAAGGAACTGGATTCAAACCCTTGTTGTAGGTGTGCTTGGCCTGAGGATGGTTATGTGGAAGTCTAGTTGGCAGACACTTGCCCTTCAAGAGAAGGCTTTCCCTCTCCATCACAAAATTGGTGGAAAAACTATAACTTTCATAGCTTAAGTTAAAACAAAATGTTTAAAGCACTTAAGTGAAAAAACTATTATTTTCATAGCTTAAGTTAAAACAAAATGTTTAAAGCACTTAAGTGAAAAAACTATTATTTTCATAGCTTAAGTTAAAACAAAATGTTTAAAGCATCTAAATATAATTTCTTGATGTTTAACCACTTGAACCAGTATTTTTGGTTAATTGGTCAACTGATCACTATCATGTCAGAAAAGAGCTTCTACAGGCTCTTCTGACTCACCGGATTCCTTCAGAGCAGCTTCTCCAGCCGTAACTGGCACGCAGCAAGCACTCGGCAAATATTTATCAAATTGATTATCTGTGCAATACTGAAGAAAGTGCCAAAAAAAAAATCGGAGAAACCATATCCACTAAATTAAGCATGTCAATTTAGTGCAGTGGCGGATTGCGCAGAATAGCGAAAACCATCTCTAGTTAGATTCCATCTCCTGCTGCCTAGATGTCAGGCATCCATCCAATTAGGCTTATAGAAGACCCCCAAAATTATCAGATAAATGTTGGCCAATGAGAATAATTTAGATATATTCTCAAGGTTCACTTTGCTAAATGAAGTAAGTCCTATTTTTAATGCAATTACTCAGCTCTTTACTTTTTTGGAAGGATCGGCAACAGAAAATGTCTGTTTATATACAAGTACATGGTAAAGCAATTTCCATTCGGCTTTTTAAAAAATTGTTACAAATAAAAAGGTTTTTGTTTAAATACATTCATCCTTTGCACACAAAATACATTCTTTTTACTTTTACCCTCAGTATGAATTATTTATTTTTTTGAGGGTTGTTTTATTTTTTTTAACTTTCAGGTGGTAAAAACACTTAATATGAGATCTACCCTCTTAAATTTTTAAGTATACAATACAGTGTTGTTAACTATGGTTACAATGTTTTATAGCAGATGTCGAGAACTTATTCACCTTGCTTAACTGAAATTTGATGCTAACTGATTAGCAACTCTACCTTCCCCCACCCCTGCCCCTGGCAACTGCCAGTCTCTTTGATTCTATGAATTTGACTATTTTCAATACCTCATATAAGTGGAATCATGTAGTATTTTTCCTTCTATGATTGGCTTATTTCATTTAGTGTAAGGGGTTAATTTCCAAAATATATGAGGAAGTCCTACAACTCAATAGCAAAAAAAACTAATAACCCAGTTAAAAAATGGGCTAAAGACTTGAATAGACATTTCCCCAAAGAAGACATACAAATGGACAGCAGGTACGTAAAAAGGTGCCCAATATCACTAATCATCAGGAAAATACAAATAAAAACCACAATGAGATAGTACCTAATACCTCTCATGATATTTATTATAAAAAACACAAAAGATGACAAGTGTCTGCAAGGATGTAGAGAAATTAGAACCCCTGTGCACTGCTGGTAGAAATGCAAAATAGTGTAGCTGCTATGGAAAAATAGTACGGAGAATCCTCAAAAAATTAAAAATAGAAATACCATATGATCCAGCAATCCCACTTCCAGGTAATCATGCAAAATAAGTGAAATCAGAATCTTGAAGAAATATTAGCACTCCCATGTTCATTGAAGCATTATTCACAATAGCCAAGAACCTAAATGTCCACCAGAAATGGATAAATAAAATGCATTATATACGTACAATGGAATAGTATTCAGCCTTAAAAAAGGAAATTCTGCAATATGTGACAACATGGAAGAACCTGAGGACATTATGTTCAATGAAATCAGACTTTTATTTTTTCTACCTGTTTCCTCCCTTCTCTATTTCATGTTAACTTTTGAAGGAATTGACTGGCTTTTCGAGCACATTTAGCAAAGGACATCAAAAGTTGACTATCTTAAATTTTATTTAGGGGTTTGATTTTATATCTTTATATAAAACTGGTGATAGGTTTTTTTAAATAGGTAGAGCTTCTGAAAATTTTCATGGATTTCAATGAACTCTGCTAAATGTGTAGAGGTTACAGAAATAAAATGTCTCATGAAAAGAACGCCTCCAGTATCCATCTTATAAAGTGTAACCATGGCATGTGGACCGTGTCAAACTGCTCCGTCTCCAGCCTCGGCAGGTGTGGTCCTTATTCAGCATTAAGGGATGTCCCATCATAAAGGTCACAACCCATAGATCCTGGAGTCCTAATCTGAGTCACAGACCAGGGTCTGTATTTTGAATGTGGTCTTGCCCTTCGAAGAATGAAGCAAATGCAAGGTCTTGGTTGTGTCAGTGATGTGACACATTTGGGAACATAAGCCTAAAAGGAGGAAAGGTTTTGCCTCCTCAAGGAACGTTCATGATTTCAGGAAGCCAAGGTTCTGGGATCCTGAGCTGGGTCTTTGGGAAAATCATCTGGGAACTTAAACAGGGGCTCCACTTGCCCTCGGGTCACCTGTCTCTCAAACCAACATCACAGAAAACCTCTTTCTTGTGTTAGAGCCCAAAGTAAAGAGGGTCTCAATAGCCGCAGTGTTAAAAACACATCAAACATTACAACATCTGCACATTCACCAAATAGGTACCGCAGCAACTCATCTTCGGAAATGTGCAAGTCCCTTAAGAAGACCTCAGTTCTCCCTACGGGAATTCTCTAAAACCTCTTTCTCCACTACCAACAATTTGGCCAGGATCAGAGGCATCTGCCACCTCGGACGGTAAGACCTTTTCAAACCCGGAGAATCTCACAATCCTACGGAGGATCAGGTACAAATCGATTGTTCTATCTTTGCACTTTGACAAGCCGCCTCCCATCCTCCCTGGCTGGGATCTCTTGAGCAGCCACCAGATGGGTTTTTCAAACAATAAGGATGTTGCTTGGAAAACCACAATGGGAGGAGATCCAAGCCCTGGAAGCTCGGTCTCACCACATACGGAGGAATGTTAGACTTGGGACCACTTCCAAGTTTTCTCTGGTGTTCAAATCGATTACAGAATGAAAGAGGCTCCTTCCCTCCACCCTGCCAGACACTCCTGGCCAGAGAACCTGGTCTTTCAGGAGACACACAGAACGGTTACAAAAGCGCTCAGAAAAGCTGGCTGTGCTGTCGACAGCCCCGTGTTCCTCACGGGAGCTGAGCGACCAGCAGTGGTGCCGGGTTAGCATGAGAGCAGGACTTCCCTGCAGCACGCTCCAGCCGGCAAGATCAGCCGAGCGTGCTCCTGGGGTTTCTGGAGCTCGTCTCCAGTGCAGATCACGCCTGATCTGGTTTAAAGTGCCCAAGTGCTAACTAAGTGCCTCATAAATTTACAGTCTGATGCACTAGCCCTGGGCTGGGAGTCTCCATACTTGAGGTTCATGTAAACTACTGTTTAGTGTATTTTTAGTTTAAA